TTGCTTTGTTAGTCATGGTTATGATATTCATGTTTCGTGAATTTTACTTATTCGTTATTTTTATTTTGTAAAATTCAACGAGCAACACAGTGGTGCAGTAGGTAGTGCTGTTGCCTCACAGCAAGAAGGTCGCTGGTTCGAGCCTCGGCTGGGTCAATTGGTATTTTTGTGTCGAGTTTGCATGCTCTCCCTGCGTTTGCGTGGGTTTCCTCCAGTCTAAAGACATGCGGTACAGGTGAATTGGGGTAGGCTAAATTGTCCATAGTGTATGTATGAGTATGGATGTTTTCCTGTGATGGGTTGCGGCTCAAAATGCATTGGCTGTGTAAAACATATGCTGGATAAATTGGCGGTTAATTGCACCGTGGCGACCTCAGATTAATAAAGGGACTAAGCCGAAAAGAAAATGAAAAATGTAAAATTCAACATTTTTGGCAAGAAATGTAAAAATATGCAGTAAGTAGAAATTTTGAAATATTGTTAACTTTTTGGCATTATAAGCAATAATGTCTTTGTGATGCTTAAACAATGACACCATTTAAAACCATTTCATACATTAATGAAACTTAAGTCCTTATTTTTTTATGTTGTAGTAAATGAAATGTTTTTATTTGCAGCTTAGACAATTGTCGATCTGTCTAAATTTAAAGTCATCGTTTTTTATTTTTATTTTAATAGACCATATTTGGTTTATGACTGAGCAGATTGACCAGAGCTGCAGATAGCTGATTAAGCCAATATTGCAGACTATGCAGTGCAAATACCTGAAATATAGTTACTAATACCATATTCAGTAAACACCTGGTTAATACACAACCCTAATATAAAAACATGCTGCATAAAATAGTATTAAAAAATATCATTCCATGATGAATGTTAAAACCGTTGATACTAGCCTATATTTTATTGTTAATCAGAGAAAATACGAAAAAAACTAAACTAGAAATTAAGCGGATAAGTTAAATATGTATGTTCGACGACAAGCCTTTAAAATCTGTTCTTCAACCTCATTTCTCTCTCAGATTGTGTTTTTTGAGGACAAGAACTTCCAAGGCCGTCGTTACGAGTGCGATAGCGACTGCTCCGACTTCCACACCTACCTGAGCCGCTGCAACTCGATCCGTGTGGAAAGCGGCGCCTGGGTGGTTTATGAGCGGCCAAACTACACGGGGAACCGCTACCTGCTGACCAGGGGCGAGTATCCGGAGTACCTGGGCTGGATGGGACTCAATGACTGCCTCAGTTCCTGCAAGATTATCCGCTTTGTAAGTTCAGCTATTATCACTGCATCAAATATTGGGTTATGCTTTATTTTGACAGTCTAATATTCTGAGGGACGCCGAATTAATATTACCTGAAAGGGGTGTTCTCAAAAAGTGGCTTTTTGCAGTTCTCCAATTTCTATTAAATTATGTGGTTTAAATACAGCATTTGTGACATAGCAAGCACGAATCTTTGCTGCATTAGCTTGTCAGATAGTGATAACAACCATACATTTTGATGCAACAAACATATTTCCTAAAATTTTTATTAAAGTGCTTACCATACAATTTTACCAATTTTTTTTATTGAGAAATGCGCTTAAACTGTAAGCTATTATAATTTTATAAATATTGTTATAAGATTAGATTTTAAACATTTTATTATTTAATTACATTTAATTTATTAATACTTATATTTTTTCGGAACTTATTTTTATTAAAGAATACAACATTACATGTTATATAGTGCAATACAGGGTAAAAGTTTTTATTTTTTTGCAATTAGTCCATAAATTTTTTTTCTTTTTCTTTTTACCATTTTTTACCAAAATGGTTGTAAATACAAAAAAATCCTTAGGATATATAATGAGGAAAGAAAGAAAGAGAGAACAAAATAAATATATAAAATGTATATGTACATGCACATACACATGCATACACCCATATGTATATACACATACTAAAAAATATACAATAATAAAATTATTAATAATAATAAATTTAATGAAAAAAGGGGGGCTTAGATGGTAAAAAAATACTTATTTAAATGTACAAATTTATTATCATGCATCATTAAAAAACAATTAGCAATCTGTTAAAACCTTTTTAAAACCAACGAAAAACATATTCAAAACTGTAGCCTGTAGGTAAATAACAAACTGGCCAGCTCATTTCCTCAGTCCGAATTTGTAAATTTGAATAAATAAAAAATAAATTTGTCTTAAACCCTTCTTCTATTGGTTATTTTCACATTTTTTGATGGCATACTGTCAAAAACGAGACTTAAATGAGTTCATATATAGAGGCCAAATTCTGGACTTCTCGAACCACCCAAACCCTCCCTGGCTAAAGCCCTGAAGAAACTTATATATACTTATTATAGTCATCAGAATGTCTGCTGAGAAATCCTTCAAAAATATTAATAAATAAATTAAAAAGTCTTCCAGATATTAAACAGTCTAATAATACTATAGTCTAATGAACTCTGGTCAACAAGCTCGCAAAATTTCTCCTAGTCA